AAGCAGATCCTGGAGTCCATCGAGGCCATCCACTCCGTGGGCTTCCTGCACCGCGACATCAAGCCGGTGAGTCCCCCGGCTGCGTCCCCACTCCCCATCCCCATGCCCATGTCCTGGCCTCTGCTCTCTTCTCTCCTTCATCCCTCACCCCTGTCCTGACTAGTCCTTGAGCCTAGAAAAGGGAAGAAGCTGGGAAGGATGGAGGGACTGGGGTGAGGGACCACGAGCTGGGGCTTGGTGAACAATTTCAAGTAGCCGAGTTTGCAGCACCTTGGATCTTGGTGCTAGGAAAAGAACCCTCCCATATGGAGGGGTGGAGACGAGGCCCACAGAGCTGGCTGAGCAGTCTGAGGCCACACGGCAAGAGCAGTGTGGGTCTGCACCCTTGGAGTAGGACACGCTGCCCCGGGGTTCGGGATTCGGGGCTGCACTGAGCAGGGCCAGACCCCGGGGCCATCGCCTGCTGTGTGATCTCAGAGCAGCCCCTAACCGCTGGGACCTTCAGTTCCTCACCGCTAACACGAGAGTCACACTCGGCCTTCGGATGGGAGCCCCTGACCCACACGCCTGTGGGTGTCAGTGTCTCCCTGGGTGTGTCCTGGCATTCCCCGAGGTGGGTTGGTGGGCGGAGCCCTAGGGCTCACGGCTGCTGTCCTCCCTAGTCCAACTTCGCCATGGGCAGGCTGCCGTCCACCTACAGAAAGTGCTACATGCTGGACTTCGGGCTGGCCCGGCAGTACACCAACACCACGGGGGACGTTCGGCCTGTGAGTGCCCTGGGAGCCCGGCCTGCCTGCCTGGGGCTGCAGGACCCTGGAGAGCTCCCTCCCCACCCCCTGGCCTGGGGCCCCTTCACCAACTACCCTGCAGTTGCCTACAGGCCTAGGCCTGTTCAGTGTCAGCACTGCCCAGCTCTGGGGGCCACAGCAGCCTGTCCCCTCCATTCCTTAGCCTGAGCTCTGGGGGTAGGGGTGCCACACTCCTCCACTCCGGGCCACGAGTAGGATTTGGAAGGCTTGGGCCTGGCGGCCAGAGAGCAACTCTTGGGCGATGTGCCTGGCCTGCTCCCCATGAGGCCAGAGTAAGGCAGGGAGGGTTAGGCCCGGGAGTGGGGTAGAGACCTGAGGTTCCCATGGTGATCTCTCCTCTGCAGCCTCGGAATGTGGCCGGGTTTCGAGGGACTGTCCGCTATGCCTCGGTCAATGCCCACAAGAACCGGGTGAGTGGCAGAGCCTGGACTGTGGGGGGTGGGGGCAGAAGGCACCAGATCGGGGTCGGGGGGGACAGCTGATGTCGAGGGGAGGCGAGAAGAATGGGGCTGGGGCTGGACCCCTGGTTTGGAAGGAGGCGCCACTGTCGGCTTTCCTGGACTTCACTTTCCTCCTTTTCTCTGGGATTCTCATCCTCTCTGTTCCCACTGTGGAGGAGAAAGCATAGACCGAAGTGTGTGCTTATTTATTTATTTTTAGTTTGCTATAGGGTGCATGCACTCACCAGAGAGAGAAATAGAGAGAAAGTGAGAAATCACCCCCCCAGGGGGGATGGCCATGCCACAGTCCCTTCTCCTCCTCCATTCTCTTGGGACTTTGGGTACACGTGCACACATGCACCTGGTGTGATTTCCAAGCTGCCATGTCCAGGACTTGAACTGTACAGCTGGCCGCGTGGGATCCAGCTTCCTTAACCTCCATGCCACCTGCTGACCCATTTATTTAATTTTTTTAATGACCAGAGAGCTCATGACCATGGGCAAGATAGAGACAGAGAGAGGACGCCCCCCCGTAGGGTGTGGTTGTGCTCAGTCCTTTGTCCTCCACGACTCTATCTCATCAGACCTCTGGGCGCACACACACGTACCCAGCATAGTTTCCAAGCTGCTGGGACTGGTGTTTGAACCATGGTCAACCTTATAGTATCCAGCTCCACTGCTCAACCACTCTGCTACAGAGCTGGCCCAAGACTGGGGTTTTGTTTTGTTTAAAGTAATTATTTATTTCATTTTATTTATTCATGTATTTATTTTTAATTTGACCAGACACACACACACACTCACAGAGAGAAAGAGAAAAGAGAGAGAGAGAAAGAGAGAGAGAGAAGGAAAGTGAGAAAGCAAGCCAGCAGGTTCAGGACTCGAACCATGGTCGGCC